ACTATTACTATATATTATAATCCTATATATAATATATAATTATAATATATCATATTAATATTATAATTATATATAAGAATATATAATTTTATAGTTTCAATTTAAATACCGCATCTTGTATAATAGAGTATGATAACATGGATTTCCCTCAAGCCTGACGTGCGCTTCGCGGATTGACAGCACTTTTCTCAGTTTCTCTCGCGGATCTTCCCTGAAGAACGACAGAGCGCGCGCGGTAGGTCCCCGTAAGAAAGCAAAAAAGAATACTCGCGCGATCATGAGAACGCTCGGATGAGATTTGCGCACGGTCGTACGTACGTACGCGCATGTCACGATAGACAGATATGTCTTTGTACAGAAATACTCAGCCAGCACATACAACAGCACTCATCCAAGGTACATATTACCAGCACGAACCAGCGAAACGCCGCACGCCGTAATAACGCGCACGTACACAATCGATGCGAGAGGAACTCGCTTTCTTTCTCCTTTTCTTTCTTTTTCTCGCGAGACGCCAATAATGCACGACGGAAAACACGGTTCTCTGCGAGAGGAGCGATGCGATTTCCTCGCTGCGTCGCCTCCGGACGTTCTCGTGCGAACGTTGGAGTAACTGAACCGATTATGGAATACCTTTCCTCGAATCTACATTTCTAAGTTGCATCCCAAAACGTCCTTTTTGAAGAACTTATTTTAGTACCTATAGTTTATGTGTTACATATACTATAGAATATCGAGTAAAGTTTCCTCAAAAAGAACGTTTTTTGGAATTCAACCCTACAATGCAAATGCATATTTCAAATTTCTGGTAGCATAGAAACATGTTAACTGTAAAATCCAAGGAAAGAAAGTATCCAAAATTTCATTCTTGAACAAAAGAGTAAAAAGTGAAAAAAATTAGAGGGTCGAATAAATGGGATACAATACAACATCACCGAGATGATTCAAGAAACTATTTAATAACACAATCATTAAAGTGTAAACTCTTTTGATGAAGCATCATTTATAATCACTGGGCAATTTATATCAGGACAGTTTATAATCAATTGACAAATTAATTTATATATCCTAAATATCTGCAATTATTAATTTAAAAAAATCGTGTATCCCTTACAGGAGATAAACATAAATAGAAAAACAAAAACATAACAGACGTAATAAATAATAGAGAAGCAATAAAAAACAAGAAATAGTAGGAAGTTTTATTTTTTTACGCGAATATCTTCAGGAGAGAGGTTGCTAGTTATCTACCTTTGCAATTGTTTATATTATCTTGCATGATAAATAAAACTTTCCTGTATCGTTACGGAAGTTAAGAGTAACAATTGAGTTGTAAAATATTATCAGCACAACTACATAATGTACATTGAATGTAAACATTAATGAACTTGCCTTAATAAGCAAGCAAGAGTAGCTGAATTTCGATTAACTTTAGGGCGAAATGAAAGTAGAAAGTCGTTTATATCTTTAAATACGTTTCTCATCTGACGTTCAGTTATGTACCCCAAATTTTATAACAAATGCAATAGCTTCCAGCAGTTGCCGTCAGAGTGCAGTGCTTTATAAAAAAAAATAAGTTCCTATTCTATATATTATATTCTAACTATTCCATAATTGGTTCCTTTGCCTAACGTCCGCATTGTTTCGCGTAAAATCGCGACAGAAACGTCGTGGGACGACCGTCGCGTGTGTGATTTCTCCTTGACACCATCGGGACCGGAAAAATCAACGCGAGAACGCAAAAGAAGAAGCAGAAGAGGACGACGAAAGTGTGAAAATTTTCGCGCCAGGACGCGACGCATTCAAGAATCATTGCGAGTAAATTGACTCACGACGTTTATGTAGTGTTTAATTCGCGATTTCGAATTTATGGCCTCGAGGAATCGGAATTATCTGTCGCCGGCTTGTTTTCTCTCGTATGCAGATGAGATACGAGAAACGTCTTGCGTAACGTACGTTGCAGACGCATAAACTCATCGATTAGTAACATGAATTCAACGTTGGAGTGTGAATTTTGCAGAGTCGGGACTCTTAACGACCGTTGCAACGTAAACTTGTTCTTTTTTGTGTCCGCGGGAGGCAAAAGGCGCCCTTACATAACACATGGATGTTACGCAAACTCACTGATTACAGCACGAAAATTGGAGATTAGGGTGAAACAACATCAAGACAGATTTCGAAACGTCAATACACTTGGCAAGCGTTAACAACGATTTAACTCGATCTTTTTCCACTTCGTATACGTAGAAAATTAAAGACGTCTTCACATATCGTACAAATGCTTCACCAACTCATGTGAATTCATTAATTACTGTATAAATACAACGCTGAGCTATGTAGATCTTAAGAAGTCGACACATTTGGCAACTAGCGCATTGTACACCTGTGCTTCTTTGTACGTAGAAGACAAAAGACATTTTCAGCAACATACGAATGTCGCATAACATACATATAAACTCGTCCGCTAATACGAATGAATCTGACGTTAGGTTAGATTGGATAGAACGTAGAAGGTAGATCTTAAAAAATCGAAGCAGCGCGCGTAGCAAACATTACATTGTAAACAATACGCACGTGTGACTGTAAACTTGCGTATGACATCGCAGTCGTTAGCGACCTAGTCGAAGTACCACTGTGCAAACATCGGACAACACTGTTCTCGTTAGAAGCAGTGAACAGAGGAACATTAGTGGACGTATTCTGTAACTTTTGGCAATGTCGTTATCGTTACGTTGTTGCGCGGATGTAATATACAGTAGAAAGGATAATGTGGCAATAACGATATTGTTGTTAAAAGTTTCACAGTAGACACACTGGAAGCGATTTTCCTCGTCGATTTTGGTCAATTTTAGAAACATTGCAAAACATTAAAAATAAGAGACACGTATTTTTTCGTAAGTATTTCTTCGTACTTTTAAAGGTTAAAAGAATCCTCGAGATCAGTGTTGGGCATTAAATAATTAAAATTTTCTTTGACTAAAATAATCGCAAGTCGATCATCAAAATTAATCAGTCGCCATATATGTAATCACAAGTGATTTGATCGATTGATGGAATTTATTATTAATCAACGCATGATCAATTATATCAAAATTTGATTAATAATTAATTTCATTAATTAATCAAAATATTTGTGTAATTTTATATATGATGGTTGATTATTTTTGATTATAGATTTATGCCCATTGTTTTAATCAATGAAAAGTTTAATCAATTAATGTCCAACACTGCGTTTGAAACTAATATTTTATATATATTTGATTTATAAATGATAAATGAGTATCTCTAAAATCGTAAAATATATGAAGAAACAACGTAGACGAAAATTCTGCGATGCTTTATGCACTTATATTTGTTATAAATGTCATATTTTTCAATATAACGCCATATTCTTCATTAGTTCCAGAAAGTACAGAATATTCACAAGCATAAAAACTAGACAGAACTTCACGCAAAATTGATCCACGTATACAAACTTATTTCTCAAAATTGCATTTTTTAATACACGAGTTGTAAACACCGTGCTATGTTTGCCGCACTGCAGCTACATTTACATACACTACACGTCCAAATAGCGCGTACAAACGACGGACGAACGACGCAACGCATTTGTAATTGCTTGTAGCGCGACCTTTACAACTCATATGCTAAATTCGCGATTTCAAAAAGCGATCTTATTACGTGGCTGAGTTGATGCAAAATCCTTCCTTATTTTTACTTTTATTAAATCTTTGCAAATTTTTTAATTAATAATGAAGGATGAGAACGTTATAAAATAGTGAATTTCTGAAAAATCTAAATAAGTAATTAAAAATCAAAATATATTATAATTACGTGTCACATAATTTCAAAGATTTGTTCATAATAAAATCTGTAGAATTCGCTCTATTTCATTTGATAATTAATTCTTTGAACTCCGCCTATCATAAGACCTTCAAGTTACAATATATCGTATATCTTGATCTTAGTTCTAATAATTCACAAAATAATTTGTAAAAATTAAAACTTCAAGAAATGTTATTTTTTTATTTTTACCTGGAAATCCAAGACATGCTATATTGCTCTAGAAAATTAAGGTTCAGAGGGTTAAACGTGTGAGAAAGCGCTTGTAAAAAAAAATACGTGTTTCTTATCTATTCTTATATTGTCCACGATATATTCAATCGTTTCTTGAGATCGACGAGATACTCTTCCAGGGTTTTCCTTGCGAAGACGATTCACATAAAGATACATCGCACATCGACGCAATACTACTACCGTAGAGATCCCGTAGAGAGCGACTTCGTTACGGAAGTTAGCGCGAATTCTAAACGACCGATATTCGTGTTGCAGTTGATTTTCAGTGGCGAATACACGAAGGCGATGAACAAGGACTGGCACAGCGGCCACTTCTGTTGCTGGCAGTGCGACGAATCCCTGACAGGACAGCGCTACGTCCTCAGGGACGAGCATCCCTACTGCATTAAGTGTTACGAGAGCGTGTTCGCCAATGGCTGCGAGGAATGCAACAAAATCATCGGCATCGACTCCAAGGTACTGTTTTTATGAAAAGCACACTTCGCGTAATTTTTTCAAACTCGTATATTCTCTTTATGGGCAAAGAGAGAAAGGGAGATAGGGAGAGTGGAGAGACTGAGTAATTAAAACTATAAGATACTCAAGTTGGTGAAAAATGAATTGTTTTTTTTAAATTATATGTTCGAATATTATTTGTTGGTTGAGTCGCAAGTAACTTTGAATGAAGACAGCGAATATTTATTTTCTCCGGATAATCGCAAAAAAAATCTGTTTGTGCTTATTAATTTAAAACATGTGTCATTATTAATAACAAACACATATATTAGACTACTGACATTTAATTAGAATTCTGTGTATTATAATGAGATCTAATAAAACTATATATAATAATATAATATATGAATAAACAATATATGAGTAAACACACACAGACACACACACACATATATATATATATATATATATATTTATATAATGTAAAATATTTATATTATATAAATATATAAATATATATATATATATATATATATATATATATATATATATATATATATTTATATATTTATATATTTATATATTTTATAAATATATAAAATATATTTATATATTTATAAAATATAAAATATAAACATGTATATATATACATATACATTCATATATTTTATTATATATATATACACACACATAGAGTGTCTCAGACTCACTTCCGCAATTTTTATAAGAACATAGAACGGATTGAGATGAACAAAAATGTCTCCATACCGTCTCGCGATATTCGCAATAAATCTCGAGATATTAATTAAAGAAGATTGATGAATAAACATACGCGATATTGTAGATGAGCTGTAATAGCGATGTCTGTCGTCGTATACTTGTACATTAAATCAAACTAAGCAAGAAAGTTCTCTATGATTTCGCGAATAGCCATGTAGATTTTTAATTATTAATTAAAGAAAACTGTTGCACGATTTTGCGCGATTTTCTGCACCAATCACCATGCACCAATCTTTTTTAATCAGTATTTAAAAATCTACGTGATCATTTGCAAAATGGTAAAGGACTTTTGTGCTCAGTTTATCCTAATTAATATCCCGATATTTATTGTGAATATCACAAAACGATATAGGACTTTTGTATTTATCTCAATCTCCCTCACGAGAAATTGTGAAATTCAACTGGGACGTTCTGTATGTATGTATATAAATAATATAAATTATACAGGCGTTTCATATGACAATGACTGTTTATTACAGATGATTTATATTTCACACTTATGTTACTATAATTACATTACAGAACGCCTTATGAGTTAACCAATAAAGCTATATTATATTAAAATCCGCTTGAGAAGTCAATTTAAATTTATGAATTAAAAGAAATAGAAGTTACTTACGATTCAACTCACAGATAAAGCAATGATACGTGTTCGTTGCGCATCAAACGGCACGCGAAAATGGAAGATTAAGTTCACGGTCGGCGGAAGGACACGAAATTATCCTTCCCAGCGTTCCAGTGGCTCGTACATTTTCACGCGTAACAGAAACAATAAATTACTGTCCTCCGCCGCGTTCGGCCTAAAGGCGCAATTAGCAGCCGTCGTATGATTATGAGACCAGGTGTCAATAGATGGCGAGGCGTTCAGGCGTCGACTTACTCATTTCTAGAAATAGCGGCGATGATGCAGGTGTAACCGGCTACCACTACCTGTGTGCGTCGGCCGCGAGGAGCGTACATTTCCGCTCTTTTTCTCTCTTTCCTTCTCGGCATGCGACTGGCGTGCTCGCGAGAGAGATCTCTCATTCCTCGTACGTATTTCTACGGGGGAAAATCGACGACCCAGCCGGGAAAAGCGAGCGCATGCGTCATCATTTCTATCGCATTGTGTTGCGCGCCCGCACGAATTACGTAATTCGTGATTAATAGTTCACGAGATCGCAGCATCCGCGACGGCTTCCTGAAGTAGTCTCCAATCGTGTGACACCACGAGTGTGACCACGCGCTGTCAGACGTCATATATACAGGGTGTCTGACAGATCACGGCAGAGCGCATCAAACTGAATGGGAAAGTCTTCTACCACTTCGCGAACTTGGCAATAATTATTAAGAAGGAATTGATTGAAGAATAGCAATACAAGTGTGCGGATAAGTATGCGCGAGTTTGCACGATTCCTGCATCATCACTTGCCGTTGCCAGCCGATTGTCAACACACGGAAAGAATTTTAAAATAAAAGTTACTGTAGGACTTTATAATCGAGGACTAAATCGATATCTTGTAGTAATTTACTCTATTCTTTCATTTAATATGCGCTACTTATATTTTAGAACCTATGAAATATGCTATATTAAAATTTGCTATATTTCTAGCGAAGTTTCCTTAATAAGATAGACCTCACTGAGAGTCTATCTTATTTGAGAGTCTATTTGCTGGACTACTAAAAACGTAGAAAAATTTAAGAGAATATGTGTGAAAAAAAAACTATAATATTCTCTTCGTGCAAATTCGAGACATCTACGTGCCTGCAAAGTTCGTCCTACAGTTTCTCCATGCATTCATTCGCTGATATTCCTCAATTAATCCTTCAAGTCCTGAGGATTTCTTGTTTTAGAAATTTAATATTATTTTAATAGAAGAATACATCTCAAATCAGGTGTAAATAGTATTTCAAAAGTTTTAAAGAGTGGAGTTTTGATAAAGGAAAAAATGAAAATATTTCCATATAAAAAATCAGGAAATTAATGGAAAATAAAAACAATTATTTTTTCAAGATAAACAGGGTATTTGACAATTTATAAGAGAGAGAGAGAGAGAGAGAGAGAGAGAGAGAGAGAGAGAGAGATATCCGTTGTGAACTCATTACTATTTTGCAAGCAACTAAGAAAAATATTGAATTGTTAACTGAAGAAGATTGATGAGTGATCACGTGTGATACTGTAGATGAGCTGTGATGACGACGTCAGCTATTGCTTATAGATTAGATCAAACTGAAAAAAAGTCCTCTACCATTTTGAAAATAACCACATAAATATTAGGTTATTAATTAAAAAGATTGATTTGTTATTGTATTATTATATTTATTATATTTATTATTATATATTATATAAGATCAGTGCATTATCATGCACTAATACACTATTTTCTCACGATACATACATGAACAAAGCACATGGCCAACATGGCCTTTGAGCCAACTATTAGATTCCTTAAGGAGACTAGAGGATCAGATTGCCTGAAAATCATGCTTGTTTTTCACAATTTTTTATAACAAACTGAAAGTGTTATATTAACGTGTATTTATACAACATTTAAAGAGAAAAAAAATATAATTTAAAAATATAATTTTGATGATCAAATACTCAATATAAGTGTACGGTACATGCAGTTAAAATATATTTTGTTTCTCTTTTCAAGGTCGTCATTTTGCAATAATATCTTGACTCTCAGTGGTTCAATTAAGCTAAATTTTAGAAAATTTCTATAAGCTTATCGTTATCGGGTGAACCACTATAATAGAAATTGAGTAAAAGTTAACAAAACTGCAAATATCTTAATGGAATATTATTAAAATTTTTAGTTCTTTTATAGTAAAAATTTAATATTTCAAAATTAAATATTTTCACGAGTTTATCAGTAGTTCACCCGATAATGACAATCTTACGGAAATTTTCTACCTAAAATTCAGAATCAAGATATTACATATACAAAATATACAATATGACGACCTTAAAAAAAAACCGAAATATATTTTAACTGCATGTACAATACATTTATATTGAGTATTTGTTCATCAAAATAATATTTTTCCTCTCTTTATATGTTGTATAATATATGTTGTATAAATATACGTCAAAATAACACTTTCGCATATTCATTCAATTCGTCATAAAAAAACTGTAAAAAAACAAGCACGATTTTCAGGCAATCTGACTCTCTAGTCCTCTTAAGGCCAAATCACACTAACGATTGGCGATATTTGATTGACAATTGAAGATTGGAACTTGACCAAGTGGAACAAAGCAAGCCAAGGCTGAAGCTTGTTGATTCGTTAAAATCTAATCTTTAATTGTCAATCGTCAATCGCCAATTGCTAGTGTGATTTGGCCTTTAAGGGTACGCTGGGACTCATACGCCGAATATATACGCCGAGATAGTCTATCTTGCTAAGGAGCATACTAAATTTCGTTAGAAATATAACAAGTATTTTAATATAGCACATTTCACAGTTTCTAAAGTAGCATGTATGAAATGAAAGGATAAAATAAATTACTGCAAAATGTCGATCTAGTCCTCGATTATCAAATCCTACAGTAACTTTTAATGTAAAATTTCCTTCGTGTGTTGACAATCGTCTCTAGCAACAGTTAATTTATTCATAACTGTCGTGAAGTTTACAAAATGATGGACTTTTCTCTTCAGTTCTACGCGCTCTACCTGTTGGACACCCTCTATATTTCTGTGTACCGAGTAATGCGCGACATATGCTCGCTGTATCATATGCGTCTCTATCGCGAAGAGATCTCGCGTTCGAGCCGGGTTTATCGTCGTTTATCGCCGGGCGTTTCGCTCGTGCGTCCATTGTTGGCGACTTTTACTGTGACTTCGCGACGAGAACTATTTTCGCTCGGATAAGTTAATCCGCTCGTCCTTCGCGCTATCCGATTGTTTGCTGTGACGAATGAAGTTTATTCTGAACTTCCTCAGCTCGACTTTTCGAGCTCGTAACAAGTTCCATTGGAAGCGAATTCTAAAACTTTCGCGGTGAAATGGGAGAGTTGCGAATTTCTTTTTTGCATCGTCGCTCACAAAGATTCTCTTTGATGATCTCGTTAAAAGTTTCGTCAATAAAGTAGTAATTAAAACGTGGCCTGCCGCGTTAATCTCCATTGATTGTGCAAAAGTTTAATTGATGGTTGAATCGTCAATGTAAAGTACAAACATAAATTGTAATTCGGGACGTATATATATTTTGCCTCGTTTTATCTGTTTTCTGTTGGTTAACACGATAAAACGCGATAGTATCATAATGACGATTACCTGTAGTGACTGTCATGGCAATATGTTAATATAACAGCATTTGTTGTCATGCTAAAATAACAAGTAAACAAGTAAATTAGTCTCACGATATTTTAGTATCATTACGAAATTTAGACATGTTCGAAAATTTTATTTTAGACATGATATTTTTTCGAACAATCTGAAACATATCAAAATTATTGCCATTAGTAATCACGAAAAAAGCTTCTTCTCGTCATCCGTGTTTTCGTTACTCGAGTCATTTTCGAGAACATGCTTAATTGAAATAGCAAAAGATGAATATTGTTTATTTAAACCAAATAAACAATATTCAGTTTAAATGAAAAAAAATTGATTTAAGTAAATATGTTAATGGCACCTGCCTAAAAAATATTTGTTTTAATTTTTAGATATTTTTTCTTAATATATATCAGTATCTATCTAATCTAATATATATATATATATATATATATATAAATTAACTTGATTAACTTAATTTAATTTAATAATCTACTATAACAAAATTAGTATATTACTATAAATATAGTATATTATTATACTATATGTATATAATTTAAAATATTACTACTGCAATATAAGTTAATGATTATATATATTTAATACTATTAATATTTTATTATATTGTATTTTATTTTGATATTCTTTATTTTATTTTATTTTATCTTCTTAATATTAATAATATATTACTATATAAGTTAATAATCATATTTGATTTTAATTAATGATTATATATATTTAATACTATTAATATTTTATTATATTCTATTTTATTTTGATATTCTTTATTTTATTTTATTTTATCTTCTTAATATTAATAATATATTACTATATAAGTTAATAATCATATTTGATTTTAATTAATGATTATATATATTTAATACTATTAATATTTTATTATATTCTATTTTATTTTGATATTCTTTATTTTATTTTATTTTATCTTCTTAATATTAATAATATATTACTATATAAGTTAATAATCATATTTGATTTTAATTAATGATTATATATATTTAATACTATTAATATTTTATTATATTCTATTTTATTTTGATATTCTTTATTTTATTTTATTTTATCTTCTTAATATTAATAATATATTACTATATAAGTTAATAATCATATTTGATTTTAATCATATATTTAATTTTTCTAAGTAACATTTTAAAACCGCGAAGCACCGACAACTTTATATTGTGGTCTTACTTTTTGCCATTTGTATCTAATGACAACATGACGATCGACAAATAACCGCGACAGTTGTAAACTCGGAACGACGCGGGAAAATTCCGCGGGACTCGCAGATAACGAAGAAGAAACTGGAATATAGAAAAATGGAATATCGCGGAATCCACACAGATAAAGCGTTGATCCTTCTCGCGAAACCAATTTTTGAGATAGACTCTTCCGCGTTGATTTTATTGCACGACAGGCCATTACGTTCGAAAGATAAGCGAGCGGGAAGCGAAGAACGCGCGTAAGTCCCATCGTGATTATCGGCATTTCGTTTTGCAGGATCTGTCATACAAGGATAAGCATTGGCACGAGGCCTGCTTCCTCTGCAACAGGTGCAGAGTGTCCTTGGTGGACAAACAATTCGGCAGCAAGGTGGACAAGATCTACTGCGGCAACTGCTACGACGCTCAATTCGCTAGCCGTTGCGATGGATGCGGCGAGATCTTCCGCGCTGGTACGTAACACATTCTTTAACTATCCTAGCGTGGTTGTAAGGATCCTCGAAATGCCACGAAACTTTGAACGAGCTGCTACCTCGACGCGTCATCAAACACAACGCGAGTTGCGCTTCACTACACGAAAAGAAAATTTTAGAGGAAAAATATTACAGAAATACTACAGAACTCTGTAACCTGAAGAATAATTCGACATTCCGCAGTAATTGTTCTTTCATTTTATATATGCTATTTATATTTTAGGAACTGAAGTGAGCTATTAAAAAATTTTCTATATTTCTAACGAAATTTATTTGGTTCTTTAGTAAAATAGGTCTTGTTGCAATCTATTCTTGCCTTACTAACAAATTTACAAAAACGAACAAAAAGAATTTAAAAATTGAAAGAAATTTATATAAAAAATAGAAACTATAATATTCTCTCTCTGTAGGCTTCGAGTATCGCGCATTTCCATCAAGATAAAATTAAAATTAAAAGGTATAGAGCTACTGTAAATCTAATCGCGCGGATAATAATGCGAATAATTTTATTTAAATCACGAGACATATAATATTTAAACGTATGTGGTCTATATTAAACTCCTGGGGAATATCTTACAAGTTTAGAGAGAGAGGCAAGTTTAGAAAGAGAGAGAGAGAAGAAATCAATTAATATATAATTTAATAGTTTATTAATTTGGAAATGGATGGTGGGTTTTATTAACATCAATAATTGAGGTCCAAAATCATTTAACATCAAAGGTTGATTCACCGTGTAGGAGAAGTGGAGTCAAGTCAACTTGGAGATTGTGTTAGCTACGTGTTTTGTTTATATATTTATTGTGAGAGCAACAAATCTGGAAATCGCAAAATGTTCTTTCTAGAACATAGGAAATATACCAAATACTTAAAAGAACATTTTTCGTTGCCTTTTTCACTATTACTTTCATAATAAATACACGAATCAAACATAACTGACCAACGTAACCTTTAGGCCAACTTGATCCGGTCTCTTTTACCATCTTTCCTACGCAAGTCCGGAAAAGAATCTGTGGCTCGGCTATTAAATGAACATAATTCTATATAATTGATAAGAAATCTCTTACATTGTAAGAGAAAAAATATCTAAAGTATAAAGAAAATTTATTCAATGTTATACAAATAACATTCATTTTAATTTACATTCTTTTATTTAAATAAACTAAACAATTACATTCTCACGAAAAGCTACGATTTTAAGAAAAAAATATTTAATATTTAAGTTAATTATTTTAATTAAAAATTATTAATATTTAATTAAACATTTATTTTATTATTAATATTTAATTAAACATTTAAGTATATAATTTCCTACGAAAAAAGTTTTTAGTGTATAAATATATATGTATATATATTAATATAAATACATATATGTTATTAAGCGCCTAGTAAATATTTATTATATTTCAGATATTTTCTGTATAGAAAGAGACTATTTTCATGTTAAAACGCATCGTATCTTACACGGAGAAGAAATAGAAACTCTTAATCACTTGAGTATGACATTTCACGCGACTTCTATATCCGCGTTTCTATAGTCGCCCTTCTTTCGCATTCGACATGAAATTCAAAAATAAAATAAGTAGTAAAGTTTCGTCATAAAAATATTAACCTCCATTAGACACGGAATCCATTAAAGAGAGAAGATAAATCTAAACTCGGGATTATCTATGCAATTCCGCTCATGACAACGCGTCGTATTAAATGAACGTAATTATATTTAACCAATAAGAAATTTTAGAAAGAGCCTTTCTTTACGTTAAAACATCGTATTTTATAGTAAAGATTAAAATTTCTTAATCATTTAAAAATGATACTTCCCGCGACCTCTCCAACTGTATTTCTTCTATAACTGTCCTTTCTTTGTATTCGCTATAACACACAAAAGTGTCAAGGAAACTTTGATATTTACTAGAGGCGGATATTTTCATTATCCGCCTCTAGTTAGTCAGTTAAATTAATTAATTAGCTCTATTTTTAATTTAAATAATTAAGATCGACCTCTAATTAAACGCAAAACTCGTGAAATAAAAAGAAAATAAAATTAAATTAGGATTCTACAAAATTTTGTATATAGAAACACGTTGCATTAAGCGAACATATTACATATTACATATAATTATACAAAATTATATATAATTAATGAGAAATCTTGGGAAGTGCCGGCTCTTCCACGTTAAAGCGTGTCGCGCTTTGTACGGAAAATTCAAACCTATTAGCCTATGTTGGCAAATGACCACTTCAACGTCGCGAACTATTTCGGTGCGTCTTATGTCACGTTGAGAAATGTTCTCATTAAGCATCTCCATTAACGAATTGTCAACCGTGCAAGTTACGTCTCACTAGGCTTCCCGCACATTTTTCATGCATCGCGCACTACAACATATTTGAACTTTTACGAATTTACAATTTACTTTTATGCTCTTACTAATCTGTTATATGAGGATTAATATTACGAGATTATGAAAATAGAACCGATTGAGACTTTAAAAAACCATTAAAACCAAGCGATCGATTAATAATAAACTTAGTTATAAAAATAAAAGACCTACTCGGTTGGCAATATATTGGGAAAATCTACTTTAAATCGTTACTTTTTACAAAGTAAGTAGTAAAAAATTCGTCATAAAAATATTAACCTCCATTAGACACGGAATCCATTAAAGAGAGAAGATAAATTTGAACTCGGGATTCTCTATGCAATTCCGCTCATGACAATGCGTCGCATTAAATGAACGTAATTATATTTAACCAATAAGAAAATTTAGAAAGAGCCTTTCTTTATGTTAAAACATCGCATTTTATGATAAAGATTACAATTAGTACATCCCCTTGCTATTACTAATTTAATTACATATTTCACGTTACAGAGATTTATTCCCGTAAATAAAATAAAAATAAAACAAATACTCTCTCCAAATGCCAAAATTTATTGTAGATTTAACCTTTATGTTTTACTCTTTTTATTTTATTTATTTTTTTTTGTAATTCAGTTTACATCTTATTATATATTTTCTGATTGTATATTCTTTTCTTTTCTTTTTCTGCTCGTATTATTTTTATTTCTTTGTGTTATGTTTGTTTCTTCTTTATTTTCTTTTTTTTCTCTTTTATTAAAAAAAAAAATTTCTAATCCAGCTAAAATTCTAAATGTCAAAGTTGAAATTTATCACTGCTTTTGTATTTGCTAGAAAATTGTCTGTGGTACGTAGAATTTACAATTGCAGCATTGTAGCAATATCTGTAAGTAAATACAGGTGCTTGCGAAAATTATAATCGTTTGATCAACGACCCATCAGGAAACGGGGAGATCTCCCCGAACGATTGGCAAGGTGTGTTCGATACACGAAAGCATACTCGAAAATGAAGAACTCTTCCATTCCCGTACCGGTAATTGCAAGCCGTTCGTGCAGCAGCAACGCGTCATTTTCGAGCGAGCGCGGGAAAAACAGACTGCTGAAACACGTGTATTCCAGAGACTACGAAAATGACTGCGGATTTTATGACTTCGCGTCGGTAGTCTTCGTCACGATTTACTACCTCGTAAAGTCTCCCGAAGAATTCACCTCGAGGCCGTTGTTGGGTTCTGGTGAGATTGAGAACGCGCTCCCGAAAACGCGGTTAACAGCTGGAGAATACACAGAAAACAGTTTAATTGGATTATTAACCAAATCTCTGGTGAAATATGAATACAAGCCAAAAGTTTCGTTTCAATTTACCAGAATGCTGTTGAATTTAAAGGTCTGTAAGTGTCACTATGGAGTCTTCTTGCGGAGAATCGCGAAATAGGCACAGACATTTGACATATTTTGACCAAAATACAAAGAGAATCATCTTGTATTTATGATATTTGCAACTAGGAGGAAGATCTTCAAGATGCTACGGAACATTTTTTTAGAAAAAAAGTCGAAATAAAAGACCAATTAATTATTTGGATGATTCGGCGCGCGGTGCAGCACAAGTCTATATTTTTATTTATTGCAAATGTTCAAGACTTTAAATGCAAAGAGGACTTTGTAGCACTCTTGCCACTTGTGCAAGAAAGATGCCAAAAAAGTTTAGTAAGCAAATATAATGTCAGCGAAGTAAAATACGCCAAGTTTCAAATATACAAAAGACCTAATGTGTCACTGCGTTCAACACAGAATATTTCAACAGTGACACATTATTATACTGGTCGTAACACAGCAAAAGTCTAAGTTACAGCGTGTAAGATACGTCAGAGATGTGAAAATTTTGAAACATTTTTACGCACGGCCATTTATCCACTCCAATTTTTATGTTAATTTAACACAAGGCAAATCAGTAAATCACAAATATTATGTCGAAAATTAACACAAAAGTGTAACATTTCGACTCTATTGTATTATTTTCACGCCTAGAAATGGCTAATATGTTAATATGAACAAGCATGTTCATTCTTTAATAAAATTTGAAGTATATGCTATAACGTAAAATATCCTAAAATCATTCAGGATATATCATAATGAATCCAGGATGCCTTAAAGAGTGTCTTTAGTTGTCCTGAGCATATCCAGAATAATCTCAGAGCGTTTTGTTTGATCTCAGAAAGTATTACAATACAATACAAATATTGTTACACATCAATACACAATGGATTTTTCTTCAAAAGTTAAATATAGGATATTAAAAAGTAAACTATACATTTAAATATTTATACATATAAAAATGACATCGTTAAATTCTATTCTTTCTTTCAGTATTTATGTGCTAACATTGTAATAATTGTAATAATATTTGGAATATCTACCAAACCACTATTGATCTATTAAACCAAAATTTTTCTATAGAATAATATAGACGTGGATAATTTATACCAACTAAAAAATTCTTCTAACTCACATGTCAATTATAGATACGCTAAGTACTCATGAAAATTAAATACTCATGAAAATAAGAATAAGGAGCTGTGATGTACTCTTTAGTTTTGACTAAGAAAATGAACTGCGTTCCAACAAGTA